TTCACATATTTATATTAGCACAGCATGGATTTTTACTTACAGGGAGAACATGCAAACGCTATGCATAGTTTTGAACCAAGGACCCCAGTGCTGAAAGCCAATGTGCTGCCCTATTATGATTTCAATGATAATAGGCACATATTATTTAACAAAAGCATGATTGTGTGTTATAATGATGTGTTACCTTCACAAGCAATTTGGCATATACAGGATAAGTATTGTGCAAAAAACCCATGCAGTGCAAAAAAAAAAAAAGACGAAAGCCCAATGTACTTACTTTCTTCAAGGGCAGCCAATGGAAGCATTAAAATACAGGTAAAAACAAATTAGACAGTTCAATACTTGCAATCAAACAGCTACATTATTCCTACTATACACAGTCTATCTCTAGCAGTCATTATCTAGGAATTCCTGCATTTACAGCAAAAAAAGAGAATGCAATGTGAAATGGAAATTGTAAGTAACAGATAATAAAGAAGAATACAATCAATATAACTGTGACTAGAAAGGATATTACAAATACAAAACAGGCTAAAAAGCAGGAAAAAACTAATAAGTGGATTCATGAACTGATAGATCTTCACGGCTTCTCTGTATTATATGCAGTTGTGCTATTAACTCTACTAATGGAGTCTGTTGGAGCTGTTTATCCTGTCCATCGCAAGTAGAAAAAAGTGCTTGCAATCAACTCATGCAGCAGGGATGAACAATCCTGAAATCCTTTTAAAAGCATTGGTGCCACTGGCTTTTTAATTAATGTAGAATGTTACAGTATGATATGGGAAAATAGGAAAAGCCTAATGTAAATACTCACATGTACATCTAAGTTATAGGCATTTATAACAACAATTTTATCTGAAATAAAATACATTTCTTACTATATGATTTTTATACTGTTTTTTTTTCTATATGCTTTTGATAAAATAATAATTTTACAATTTTAATCAAACAATATAAACAGACATGTAATTCCCATAAAACAAAGCGGGCTCAATTCAATAAGTTATTTTCCTTTTTGAGTAAAATTTAGCAACTTTGACATATGTTAGTAAAATCGTACATATCATCACAACTACTTTGTACATCCAGGTGAATTATACCTTGTTTTTTTTTCAGGACAAATTTGGCTTTCATTTGGCAGTAAATGGTAATTAATATCTCCTGGTTTTTTTTTTTACCAAAGGAAAACTGACCCAAAATAGTGAGAAAATTTTTCTTTTTTTTAAATTTAGCTGTGTGTTTACCATAACACATACCATAACCTTCAGCCAAAGAAAAACCCAAAATAAATTCTAAAGTTCCTGACGATTGCAGTGATACCACATATGTGTACAGTTGCAAGAAAAAGTATGTGAACCCCTTGGGATTACGTGGAGTTTTGCATGAATTGGGCATAAAATGTGCTCTGAACGTCATCTAAGTCACAACAATAGAAGAACACAGTCTGCTGAACATAATACTACACAAACATTAGATGTTGCCATGGTTTAATTGCACATAACATGTAAACATTCACAGTGCAGGGAGGAAAAAGTATGTGAACCTTTGGACTTATTAACTGGTTGACCCTCCTTTTGGCAGCAATAACCTCAACCAAACGTTTCCTGTAGTTGCAGATCAGACCTGCACAACGATCTGGAGTCATTTTGGACCACTCCTCTTCACAAAACTGTTTCAGTGTAGCAATATTCTTGGGATGTCTGGTGTGAATCGCTCTCTTAAGGTCATGCTACAGCATTTCAATCGGGTTGAGGTAAGGACTCTGACTGGGCCACTCCAGAAGGTGTATTCTGTGCTGTTGCAGCCATTGTTTTGTTGAATTACTTGTATGCTTTGGGTCATTGTCCTGTTGCATCACCCATCCTCTGCGGAGCTTCAGTTGGCGGACAGATGGTCGTACGTTTTCCTGCAAAATGTCTTGATAAACTCTGGAATTCATTTTCCCATCAATGATAACAATCCGTCCAGGCCCTGAGGCAGAAAAGCAGCCCCAAACCATGATGCTCCCTCCGCCATGTTTCACAGTGGGGATGAGGTTTTGATGTTGGTGTGCTGTGCCTTTTTTTCTCCACACAGTGTTGTGTGTTCTTCCCAAACAACTCAATCTTGGTGTCATCTGTCCACAGTATATTTTGCCAGTAGTGCTGTGGAACATCCAGGTGTTTTTTTGCAAACTTCAAACGTGCTGCAATCTTCTTTTTGGACAGCAATGGCTTCATCCGTGGTGTCCTCCCATGTACTCCATTCTTGTTTAATGTTTTCCTTATTGTAGATGTGTTAACAAAAATGTTAGCATGTGCCAGAGATTTCTGTAGGTCTTTAGCTGACACTCTGGGATTCTTCTTTACCTCATGCAGCATTCTGCGCTGTGCTCTTGCAGTCATTTTTACAGGACGACCACGCCTAGGGAGAGTAGCAACAGTGCTAAACATTCTTCATTTGTAGACAGTCTGTCTTACTGTGGACACATGAACATCAAGGCTTTTGGAGATACTTTTGTAACCCTTTCCAGCTTCATGCAAGTCAACAATTCTTGATCGTAGGTCTTCTGAGAGCTCTTTTCTGCGAGGCATGGTTCACATCAGACAGTGCTTCTTGAAACCAGTAAACCCAAAACAGGTGTGTGTTTTTTAAGGGCAGGACAGCTGTCAGCAACACATCCAATATCATCACACTGATTGGAGTCAAGGTTGGCTTACTCCTGGCTCCAATTAGCTCTGGGAGAAGTCATTAACATAGGGCCTCACATACTTTTTCCTCCCTGCACTGTGAATGTTTACATGTTATGTGCAATTAAACCATGGCAACATCTAATGTTTGTGTAGTATTATGTTCAGCAGACTGTGTTCTTCTATTGTTGTGACTTAGATGACGTTCTGAGCACATTTTATGCCCAATTCATGCAAAACTCCACGTAATCCCAAGGGGTTCACATACTTTTTCTTGCAACTGTATGTCATTTGTTGCTTTTATCTGTTGTACAGCTCAGACACAATGGTGCACATTTTGCGCTTTTTTTTTGTCCTACCTAAAACACACTGACACTGATACTAATTTAAAAAAAAAAAATCCTGACCTATGACCCCGACCTTGACTCAAACACTAACTCTGGCACTGACCTAGATCAAACCTTGATCTAGGGGTTTTTTTTTTTGTTATTTATTTTTCTTTTTTTACACACTGTTGTATTTTTTTTTTTCTCTCTGCAAGGAGAGAGAAAGATACAATGTATCTCTCTCCTCCATTCAAAGAGAACACGGGGGGCAGGCTTCACAGTGACTGACATGGGATGTCTGCAGGGAGGTTTCACGCACCGCTCCTGTGTGAACTCGGGCTATGACAAGCCTGTGTTTACACTGGAGCAGTGGGGAAACTGCATGCGATTTGGACAGGAATCACATTCCTGTTCAAATCGGATACTAATCTTTGCGTTGCAATTTGCGTCCATTAACACAAATCGCATCGCAAAGTATCGGTTAAGGTATCGGTAGTATTTTCACGAGTACTCATGAAAATACTTGGTATCAGCACTTTTTTTTAAATTTAGCTGTGTGTTTCTTGTTACTACCATAACCTTCAGCCAAAGAAAAAACCCAAAATAAATTCTAAAGTTCCTGACGATCGCAGCGATACCACATATGTGTATGTCATTTGTTGCTTGTATCTGTTGTACAGCCCAGAAACAATGGTGCACATTTTGCGCTTTTTTTTTTTGTCCTACCTAAAACACACTGACACTGATACTAATTTAAAAAAAAAAAAATCCTGACCTATGACCCAGACCTTGACTCAAACACTAACCTTGATCTAGGGGTATTTTTTATTTATTTTTTCTTTTTCTACACACTGTTGTATTTTTTTTCTCTCTCTGCAAGGAGAAAGATACAATGTATCTCTCTCCTCCATTCAAAGAGAACACGGGGGCAGGCTTCACAGTGACTGATCACTGTGAAAGCCAATCAGAGGCTATCAAAGCGTTCAGGAGACCCGGAATCATTAGTACAGGACCAGGGGATGACCAGAGACTGCAGACTTTCTCTCCTCTCCTACCACTGACACTAAGCATGGGATGTCTGCAGGGAGGTTTCAAGCACCGCTCCAGTGTGAACTTGGACTATGACAAGCCTGGGTTCACACAGGAGCAGTGGGGAAACTGCATGAGATTTGGACAGGAATCACATTCCTGTTCAAATCACATACTAATCTTTGCAGTGCAATTTGCGTCCATTAACACAAATCACATTGCAAAGTATCGGTTAAAGGTATCGGTAGTATTTTCACGAGTACTCATGAAAATACTAAGTATCAGCACTGATACCAATACCAATATCGATATCAGTACATCCCTAGTTCTTAATTATACTTTAAAGTCATTTTTGCTATGATATTTTGCAAAGTCCTTGCTATATCTTTGGACAGGTCTGTTTTGTCTTGTTAGAGAATAGCCATTGTCATTCTCTGATTTTCTTGAACGTGTCATTTGTCAAAACCTTCATACTGATGACACCCCTCTCCAGGGACAGACTGACAACTCATGGGGCCCCCGGGCAATAGGGGATCATGGGGCCCCTGCGTCCTTGCCCAAACTCAAAAAAGCCTATGAAAAGGGTACCAGGGGCATCTCATGGGGCCCCCTACTGACCCCGGGCCCTCGGGCAGTGCCCGAGTTTCCAAATGGTCAGTCCGCCCCTGCCCCTCTCTTAACAGCTCAAGTTCCACACCTTTGTAAGAATATTTGTCTATTCCTAATCTGATTCTGTCTTGTAAATATTTGCGCCAAAGATATATTTAACAATAATTGTTTAAAAGTAATGTATCCCCACTACATATGACATATGTTCTAACAAGGACGTGGACCATTGTGATATGCATGTACATTGTATATGTTTGGAGTGATTGGGAGGTTTATGCAGCAAATGATGTATCGTATTTTTCGCTCCAAAAAGGGGGGAAAATGTCAGTGCGTCTTATGGAGCGAATATAAAGCGGCCAGTCCTGTATTTCCGCAACCACCATGTCAGAATACCGGGCCGGCCGCTCAGCTGTTCTTTCCTGCCGGACCTTAGCTGTTCCTCGGCCCAGCGCTGCACAGTCTTCCCGCCCCACACATGACAGGTCCCAGAAGACGCCGGACCAATCACAAAGCGCAGCGCTTCTCTCGCATGCGCACTGGGCACCCGGCTGTCAGCCGTGTGCCCACACTAAAAGATGGACAACTCTGCGGAAGTGGGTGCGGGTACCTGTCAAATTCAGGTACCCGTTTCCACTCCCTCCCCAAAGGTACGCAGTCCCTGGTCATCCCCTGTACTGTCCGCAGTCTCTGGTCATCCCCTGTACTGTCCGCAGTCTCTGGTCATCCCCTGCACTGTCCGCAGTCTCTGGTCATCTCCTGTACTATGTCTGCAGTTTCTGGTCATCCCCTGCACTGTGTCTGCAGTCTCTGGTCATCTCCTGTACTATGTCCGCAGTCTCTGGTCATCTCCTGTACTGTGTCTGCAGTCTCTGGTCATCTCCTGTACTATGTCCGCAGTCTCTGGTCATCTCCTGTACTGTGTCCGCAGTCTCTGGTCATCTCCTGTACTGTGTCCGCAGTCTCTGGTCATCTCCTGTACTATGTCCGCAGTCTCTGGTCATCTCCTGTACTATGTCCGCAGTCTCTGGTCATCTCCTGTACTATGTCCACAGTTTCTGGTCATCTCCTGTACTGTGTCCACAGTCTCTGGTCATCTCCTGTACTGTGTCTGCAGTCTCTGGTCATCTTCTGTACTATGTCTGCAGTCTCTGGTCATCTCCTGTACTATGTCCGCAGTCTCTGGTCATCTCCTGTACTATGTCTGCAGTCTCTGGTCATCTCCTGTACTATGTACGCAGTCTCTGGTCATCTCCTGTACTGTGTCCACAGTCTCTGGTCATCTCCTGTACTGTGTCCGCAGTCTCTGGTCATCTCCTGTACTATGTCCGCAGTCTCTGGTCATCTCCTGTACTGTGTCCGCAGTTTCTGGTCATCTCCTGTACTGTGTCCGCAGTCTCTGGTCATCTCCTGTACTGTGTCTGCAGTACATTGGTTCAGAATATTTTTTTTCTTGTTTTCCACCTCTAAAACCTAGGTGCGTCTTATGGAGCAAAAAATACGGTATATGCTTGTATATACACAGTAAACAAAACTAGTCTCTGAAAATCTGGTGAATGACAGGAGAAAACAGTAATGGTAATGGTGTGGATTTACTAAAGGCACATAGACTGAGCACTTTCTAAGTGCAGTTGCTCCAGAGCTTAGTAAATGAGGGGGAGTGTTGCTGACTTCCATCATTCAATCATGTGCAAAAGCAAAAATGCTGTTTTTTTTTGTTGCATATGATTCGGTATTCCTAGTAAAGTGAAGTTTTGCATCATTTCCTAAGCTCTGCAGCAACTTTCAAAGTGCAGAGTCTGTTTGCCTTTAGTAAATCAACCTGAATGTTTCTGTGTTTTTTTATATTTAGGTTTCTGTACATTACTGTTGAGACTACTCCAAGTTGGCTATTATATTTCTTCATCCCTTAAATATTGCATGTCTGGACCACTACTTACTTAACTACTATTCATCTGAAATGCATTTGAAAAAGAGGGCTGAGACCCTTGAAGTGCGTTATGCTTGCCCCCCCTTACATCACCTAAGGATTCTGACATCCTCACAGTGCGGCTGGAGACTCCCCCAGATCTTTTTATCCACACCATCCGCTGGTCCATTGGAGCCCCTGCTGCTGCATGTTTGGTGGCCATTTATTGCCTCTGTGTACCTTCAGCAGATCGGATCTGGTGTTTCAATGTGCGGTGTCATTATCCACTGGTGGATTGGTGAATTCTGACATGGAAGTGTGCTGCTTTTAATAAAGGTGTTTATCACTTAGTATTGACCTCAGCACCTTGCTTTTTGCTATTCCCTGCTTTATGAGCTGATCCTGCCCAGATCTGATGGGAGTTGCAGAGGTGAACCACATTCCATCCATCCATTCATCCTTCATTCATGCATAATCCATCCCTTCATCCACTCCTCTACCATTCATCTACTATTGCAGGAATTGCTGCTATACAACAGACTCTTAGTGTGTTTATCCATGGACTAATTGTTGTTACAAAGTACATAAGAGCACTGGATGTTCTGTGTAATTTTTACACATTTCTTTTGTTTTTGGGTTTAAAGTAATATGCAGTGCGCAATGGTAGCTTAAGTACTTTTGTTCTGAGCTTTTTTCTAATAACAAGGCACATCACGCCTTTTTTTTTTTTTTTAATAATTTAGCCTGTTATTCAAAATTTACATTTTCATCTGATGTGCACAATACATTAAAGTGAGATTATTCAATACTTTATATAATTATACATTATTATATTCAATTATGTGATTTCATTGTTATCTTTATTCAGCATATACAAACTCAGCAGAAGCAGACATCATCTCACATTATTATCTAAGTATGTGTGGAAACCATTATCTAAAAACATTTCATCCATTCAGTTCTAAAATACAGACACTGTACTCAATATTCTGACCTAAAACTGCTCTTTAGTCTGCCATTACCGGTAAAACAATGCAAAATAGGAAATATAAGGCAGCGACCACTTCCTGGAAGCCAGCCAAAGCCAGTCAATGTTAATATTCATCAAAGAATCACTGTATAGGGACTAGCCACACTTCCAAAAGCAATTATAGTAAATGCAATATCAGTGTTACTGCAGGAGAAAAAGGGCTTGACTTGGACAGCAAAGAGAGGACATTTCTTGGTGGCCTCAAACATTTGAATTTATGGGTTTTCCTTTGTACATTGTAAAAAAAAAGTGTTTAGTTAAAGAAGCATTGTAAGGTACCATAAACATGAGATAGTTGTTGCATGATCTCATATATTTCCATTAGATTACAGATGTATAAGCATGGTAGCCTACACAGATCTTCTCTGGCTGATTGATTGCAGGGTAAAAAAAAAATCAATTTCTTGGGTTGTTTCTATCCAGATGATTGATAATGCTCTCTTAATATATAGGTGACAGATTCAATGAAACCGGAGAAAGGAAAATAAGAAAAAAAATGGAATTTCTGCTTAATGGCGACCAATCAACATTTTTTGCTTTTTTCTTCCTGAAGCAGTTGCAAACAACTCTACTTTTGTTCTAATTTTCTTTGCTCTGGTCTTAATGGATTAGTAACTTTGCTGATGTAATCTGCTGAATCATTAGTGTATACAAACATGTCATACTTACCTGCTCTGTGCATTGGTTTTGCACAGAGCTGCCCTGATCCTCTTCTTTTTAGGTCCCCCACCGACACGGCCGATGACAGATCTGTATACCGGCCCCGTTGCCAGTACCATGTGACCTGCTGTGACCAATCACAGCAGGTCAAATAACAGTTGTATATAATGGATGGCTTCCTTTCATGCCATCCATTGTATACAAGTGTGTCTAGCTGTGAATGGTCACAGCAATCACACACACAAGCTGGGCCAATCACAGCCCGGCTGTGTCATGTGATTAGCCGTGGCCAAATCACAGCTAAGCACAAAAAAAAAACCCTGAATGAATCAATTTCATTCAGGTAAATGCTTGCTTATAGCAAAGTAATTCTTTGCTATAGGCAAATTGTGTAAAAAAAAAATACTGATCACTTCCCCAAAGTAGAACAATGTTACTATGGTAACATTATACTACTTTGGTCATAGTGAAATATGAAAAAAATCTTTAAAAAAGAGAAAAAAATGTAATAAAAAATAAAAAAAATATATACATTTGTTTTTTTTCCTACTGTCACCAGTCAGTGTCTCTGATCACCGCAATGTCAGTTATATGCTGATGCTGTACTGCACTGGTGACAGTATGTAAAAAAAAAAATAGTGAAAATAATTTTTTTAATTTCTTCATTTTCCAAAAAATTATGAAAAAAAGTTACAACTTCAAAAAACTTGTCATGCCTCTTATGAAGTACATCGAACTATCTACTTTGCAAAAAGGGGTAATTTGGGGGATATCTGTACTGTTCTGACATTCTTGGACCTCAAATTAGATTGGCTCAATTGATCAATTTTCAGATATATCCCATAGTTTGTGAACTCTATAACTTTCCTACAGACTAAATAATACGTCCTAATTTGAGTTATTTTCACCAAAGACATGTAGCAGAATACATCTTGGCCTAAATTTATGAAGAACAATTATTTATTTGCAAACTTTTATAACAGAAACAAAGAAAAACGTATTTTTTTCATTAAAATTTTCGGGTTTTTTTTTGTTAATTTAGCAAAAAATAAAAACCCCAGCGGTGATTAAATACCACCAAAAAAAAGTTCTAGTTGTGTGAAGAAAATGATAAAATTTTAGTTTGGGTACAGTGTTGTATGACCGCGCAATTGCCATTCAAAGTGTGAGAGCGCTGAAACCTGAAAATCGGCCTAGGCAGGAAGGGGGTAAAAGTGCCCGGTATGGAAGTGGTTAATGATGCTCAATGATTGCTGTTTGAAATGTGAAGTATTTCTAAGGACTTTATAACTGTCTACATCTCATTCATCTAGTACAGCCTTTCCCAACTTTTTAACACGGAGGAACCCTTGAAACAACTTTTTGATTTCAAGGAACCCTGCTAATAGTTACTATATGTACAGTCCACAGCACATCACTGTGATGGTCAGTGCAAAAAATGCTTCTTACATTTGCGGTCAGTAGGAAGAATTTCGCTTACAAATAGCTAAAAAAAAAAATTGGTTTCACTGGTTACTCATTTAAGAGGAAACCATTGCTCATTATTTTTATTTTATTTATTTTAGGTTCTTATATAGCGCCATCAATTTACGCAACGCTTTACATATATATTATACATTCCCATCAGTCCCTAACCCTCAAGGGGCGTACAATCTAAGGTCCCTAACTCACATTCATACATACATATACTAGGGACAATTTAGACAGGAGCCAATTAACCTACCAGCATGTCTTTGGAGTGAGGAAGGAAATCAGAGCACCCAGAGGAAACACACGCAGGCACAGGGAGAACATGCAAACTCCAGGCAGACGGTGCCGTGGTTGGGATTTGAACCAATGCCCCTAGTACTGCCAGGCGGAAGTGCTAACCATTTAGCCACTGTGCTGCCCATTACTGGAACCCAAAGCAACCTCTGGATGAAGCCTAGGGTTCACTGGAAAAAGGCTGATCTAGAATCTTCTTTGACTCTATTGGAAAACTGTTCTTTGTACAAGCTTTAATTAGCCTGAAGCAACTTAGGTCACCCAAAACCTGCAATATGGAGCTAAAAGTATTTTAAAATGATGACATAATTATCAGCAAGGTGTCTTAAATGCAGACAATGCCACAATGCAGGAACACATAATCACTAGGAGAAAACTATACTAGACAGTATAAGGGAAGGAGAGAGTCAGAGGTCTTTGGTCTAAAAGGGGAAATCTCACGCAAAGCTGACAACACTGTTAAGGATTTCAGTGCAGCACAGTCAACTTTGTCAGCTCACTACAGGAAGATAGACTTTTATTAGATTTCTGGCACAATCCCTGTATTTTTTTTTAATTTCTTGCATTTCTTAATGAGATAAAACATAGGGAATTGTAAAAGTTTTGCAGAGTTTTACTCTATATGTTTTCTCTATTTTTCCCAGACATACACTTTTATTTTATATGACTCATGAAGTTCAAGAGGTGACTGC